AGAAGGTTATGTGAAGCTTTTCAACAGAGCTGACGAGGATCTAATCTTTTTGCTCCACTGACATTTTATTGAATTACTACTATCCCTTACTCTTAAACTTTCCTTTTCTTAGATTCTTGAGATGCTTGACAAAAAGGATATTACAGCAAGTAAGTTAACTTTTGAATTATTTTAGTTAAATTAGTGAAAATTTTGTAGCTTTTTTCGTAGAGTTCAAGAAATAATTTGAAAATATTTTCATGTCTGCGATGTCTTTGTTTAAACAATAGCTGCGTGTCAAGTGCTTTGTCCTTCGCTATTGTTTTGCGAGTGATAATTAAATCGTTGTAATAATTAAGTTATTCGATCGTCTCGATCCTTAATTCTCGATCTTCGATCCTCGATACCCGATACTCGATTCTTGAGCGTCGATTCTCGATCCTCGGTTCTCGGTCCACGATTCTTGATAGCTTCGAGGATCGAGGATCGAGGATCGAGGATCGAGGATCGAGTCGAGACTGTCAACTTACCTTTGAGCGCTGTATTCCTCATATCCCCCCAACTTTTAGCCATGTTTAATGATGAACTTGTTATAAACCGTAAGTTTTTATACTGATTTCAGCGAAAAGGATCTTGGAAAGATTAAGGCAAACAGACCCTGATTCAGCCGTGGAAGATGCAACTTTTGTGAAACTTATTTTAGAAGCTGTAAGTTAAATTAAAGTTTAGTTATGATATAATGGCTGGGACAGCTGTGTCATGTGGTTTTTTTTTTAAAGTCTTACTTTGTCAGCCACAGACTAACACTTTTTACCTTGTTAAGCAAATTGAATAGTAGAACAGGAAAGTATTGCCCAGGAGCTCTCACCAGAGTGGTCATTCAGAAGGGTTTCATAACACAGCGGTAAAACGCCGGGCATGCGTACAGGGATGAATTCTGGTCGGCCGTGCGCCAATTTCCTGCGCAAAATTTCAAAGAAAAACGTAAGAAACAACCGCTGAATAGATTCCATGTTGCCTTTCATCTGTTCAGCAATAGACGACAGATGAAGTCAACACATTTTGACGTCTTCATTGATTATTTCTACACAGACTCGTGGTAACAT